AAAATTTAAAAAAAATTATAAAAAAAAATATTAACTAATAATAGAAAATTTCAAACTTCAAATTTCTCTGTTTTATCCCTGGATGACATATTATGGGCTTACTTCAATATGCTTGGTGGTTACAATTTTTAATTATTAGTTGGTTGGAATGAAGAACTACTCTGACCCCAAGCAAGGAGACGAAGTTATTATCTTAGTAATCAGGACTTAAGTCTACCTCTGTGTAATCGAAATACTTCAGAAGTTGGAATTCCCAGTATGAAACGAAGGCTAGGCTCAAAGGTAGGTCCAGTTCAGTGCTGGACTGTGACTCACCTCTCCCATGACCATGAAAGCATCGGTAACATGGCTTAAATAGTAGAAGGGCACAGAGATCCCGGGAGAGCGCTCCACTTCCTGAATGTGTTGCTCCAAGGCCGTGTGCAGCAAAGGTAATTAAAGACACACAGCGTGGTCTGATTTTACTGTACTAGCTAGGGAAAATGATGTGGGATATTCTTGTGTTAGCTAATGTAATGGTTTCTACCAGGTACACTTAGGAAATGAAGAAAGAACCTTTAAGAGCTTGAGTGAAAAAAAAAAGTATAGTATTTGAAAGAACATGAAAAAGAAGAGGGAAGGGGTTAATTTTCCTAAATTTACGTGAAGTAAAACAGCAAATCAGAACTGAGTTTTAAATATATGTAAGACCACTTGAGGAGGATTTATCTATAAACTGATGTTCCTCAGATGCTGGAAACATCTTAACAAGAATGTGATCATTGTTTTTCTCCCAAAATCAAATTCCAGAGTACGATGATTTGGGTTTATATTTTCAAGGTAAGTTAATTTGAGTTAAATATGATACTTTTAAAATGTAAAGTTTATTTTCAGAACCAGCCAGCCAGTAAAGACCACACTAAATTGCTCTAGTGAATTTACTCACATTGTGCTTGTCCGCCACCAACAACTCATTACGCCTTACATGATCACCTGCCTCCTTCATGACAAACTGCCATTAATAGCATCCCTATCATATGCAGTCTCAAGGCGGTACAAGCTCCAGCTGAATTTTTTGGTGTGTTACATAAAAAGTGCTCTCTCATTTCAGCCAGTGATGATCAATCCCACTAAAAATTGAGCAATATTAAATATTTGTGTATAGAGAGGACAAACTTAACATCGGGGGCCAAAGAGATGCAGGCTTGAACTGTGGGGTCACAAGGAAGAGTCAGAGAATGAGCAATGTTACGAATATAAGAATGCAGGTCTTGTCTACAGTGTTTTAAAGAGCTCTTCTAGACTTACAAAATCTGAATCTAGAGGCAAGATTCAACCTGACCACTACCTGAACACCTCTACCTCAACAATCTAATTATAGGAGAAATTCAGATGTAGCAGAAAACTAGAAGTGATCTCCTAACCTTCAATTCCAGGCTCTCCCTTCAGAATGAAATGTCTCATCCTGGCTGGCCTCCTGAGCACTGCCTGTGCCCTGCCCATCCCCGTGAGTATTCCCTCCTTGGTGGCCGGCTCAATTTCACACTTGTGAGTCTTCAAAGTTCTGGCCTGGAAAACATTTCCTGTATCTCTTCATTTCCTGCAAAGAGGAAAGCAGAGTCCAAGAAAGTCATGAGATTAGGAAATTCAGCTTTGAGCTTGTCCTCCACTCAAAGCTCTGCCCTACACAAATCCCAGCTACATAAATTCTTTGTAACCTGCCCAGCCTTGGGCAAGGAGCTAACCCAGTACTTCCCAATCTATACTCAGGAGTGGTGCAGATGTAATACAAATTAATCTCAAGCACTTAAGTCCTAATTTATACACAGGAAGCTCTCAGCAAACTTAGCATGTACAAGTATTCTGACATTATCTTTATTTAAATTAAACATCTGAATTGAGTTTCTTTTATAACAACCTTGCCTTAAACCATTTCAGGTCTTCTTAAAAGCCTCTGTAGAAACGCTCTGACTGTACGTACTAATCTC